AACCTCCGCCTCCTGGCTTCAAGCAATTCTGCCTCAGCCTCCCGCCAGCTACTCTTGACTCAGCCACGTGGGTAGCTGGGATCATAGGTGCATGCCACCACGCCTGGCTCATTTTTGGATTTTTAGTACGTACAGACAGGGTTTCACCAGGTTGGCCAGGCTGGTCTCTAACTTTTTTTTTTGGGGGGGTAGGGTCTCGAGTAGTTTGGACTACAGGTGCTATGATCATGCCACTGCACCCCAGTTCAGCCTGGGCAACAGACAACAGACAGTAGGAAAGCCTACTTTCTTGGGACAATTTGAGTTCTTATCAGTCCATGCTCAAAAAAGGTAGATAATCGGGGCCAATAAAAATCTTTAAAGCTTAGTTTTGAAGATTTAAACCTAAGCTTTAAGCCCAGGCTTGGTGTAGTGGCGCAGTCTCGGCTCACTGCAACCTCCGCCTCCTGGGTTCAAGAGATTCTCCTGCCTCAGCCTTCTGAGTAGCTGGGATTACAGGCACCCGCCACCACACCCAGCCAAGTTTTGTATTTTTTGTAGATGGGGTTTCACTGTGTTTGGTGGCTAGGCTGGTCTCCAATTCCTGATTTCAAGCAATCTGCCCGCCATGGCCTCCCAAAGTGCTGGGATTACAGGCATGAGCCACCGTGCCCAGCATTCCTTGCTGTTTCTTCTATGTGCTTTGCTTTGCTCTTCGCTGTCTTAGGCCCTCTGCATATGCTGTTTCCTCTTGGCAGTGCATTTCCTTCTCTTTACTTAGTTACATCTAGTTTTCACATTTCAGCTCAGTCATCATTTCCTGAAGGAAGTCTTTTCCTAAAACAAAATTTAGAGATGGGGTCTTGCTATGTCACTCAGGCTGGATTACAGTGGCTGTTCATAGTCACAATCATAGTACTTTCCAGCTTCAACCTCCTGGCCTCAAAAGGTCCTCCTGCCTCAGACTCCCAACTAGCTGGAATAGCTAAGGAAACATTTGACTTTCCTGATCAAATTTCTCTATAATAGTCTCTGTTAGCTACTTTGCAGCATTATCACAATTGTAATTTTTACATTTTGTATAACTTTGGTATTAGTGCCCTCTAGACTATAAAGGCATTAATTTCAAAGGCAGGGACCCTTGCCCCACCTATTTTTCTTAAACGTGTATCCTTAACCCCCAACGCAGTGTCTGGCACATAGCACTTGCACTTGTAAACATCTGGTGATTAATGTGAGAAATGCTGTGTAAATAGCCATAGGGATGCCAACACCATGCCTCAATAAGGATTTTTCTGAATCATCTGCTTCCAGCAGTGTTTCTGTTCTGGGTGCACCCAGCAAGCCTTCTTCCTACCTCAGACCCTCAGTGTCTCAGTTCCTCAACCTTGATGGAACTGCTGTTAATTGTGTTTTCTTTTTTTTTTTTTTGAGACAGAGTTTCACTCTTGTCACGCAGGCTGGAGTGCAGTGCTGTGATCTCAGCTCACTACAACCTCTGCCTCCTGGGTTCAAGCAATTCTCCTGCCTCAGCAGGGATTACAGGTATCCGCCACCATGCCCGGCTAATTTTTTGTATTTTTAGTTGAGACAGGGTTTCACCATGTTGGGCAGGCTGGTTTTGAATTTCCGACCTCATGATCTGCCCACTTCAGTCTCCCAAAGTGTTGAGATTACAGGCGTGAGCACTGCGCCTAGCCAATTGTATTGTCTTTCAAAGATGCTTTATGTACATGCAAACAAATCATATATAGTCACTCTTCCACATTATGTGGGTTCTGTATTAGCAGATTTAGCCAGCCTTGAATTACAAATATGAAAAAAAAATTAAAAAGCATTTACATTGCATTCTGTACTATAAGTAATCTAGAGATGACTTAAAGTATACAGGAGGGCTGGGTATAGTGGCTCATTTGTAATCCCAGCACTTTGGGAGGTTGAGGAAGGCAGATAGCTTGAGCTGAGGAGTTTGAGACCAGCCTGGGCAACACGGTGAAACCCCGTGTCTATAAAAAAAATAGAAAGATTAGCTGGGTGTGGTGGCAAGCATCTGTAGTCCCAGCTACTCAGGAGGCTGAGGTGGGAGAATTACCTGAGCCTGGAGATGGGGAAATTGAGGCTGTGGCGAGCTATGATTGCACCACTGCACTCCAGCCTGGGTGACAGAATGAGACCCTGTCTCAAAAAAAGAAAAAAAAGTATACAGGAGGATATACACAGGTTGTATCCTAATACTATGCCCTTTTATATAATGGACTTCAGCATCCTTAGATTTTGGTATCTGCTGGGGGACCCTGGAACCCATCTCCCCACAGATGAGGGATGACCGTGTGTGTGTGTGCGTGTGTGTGTCACACACACTCATAGAGGTGCCTCATTCCTTTGAGCTTTTTTTAAAAAAAAGTTTACTTTTTTTTTTTTTTAAAAGACGGGGTTTCACCATGTTGGTCAGGCTGGTCTTGAACTCCCGACCTCAGGTGATCCGCCCGCCTTGGCCTCCAAAGTGCTTGGATTACAGGCGTGAGCCACCACGCCCGGCCAAAAGTTTACTTTTTTAAGACTAAGTCTTACTCTGTGCCCAGGCTGAAGTGCAGTGGCATGATATTTTGGCTCACTGCGACCTTCACTTCCCAGGTTCAAGCAGTTCTCCTGCCTCAGTCTCCCAAGTAGCTGGAACTACTGGTGCGTGTCACCATGCCTGGCTAATTAAAAAAAAAATTTTTAGTCTGGGAGCAGTGGCACACGCTTGTAATCCCAGCACTTTGACAGGCCAAAGCAGGTGGATCACGAGGTCAGGAGATTGAGACCATCGTGGCCAACATGGTGAAACATTGTCTTTACTAAAAATACAAAAAAATAATCTGGGCAGGGTGGCGTATACCTGTAGCCCCAGCTACTCGGGAGGCTGAGGCAGGATAATTGCTTCAATCCATGAGGTAGAGATTGCAGTGAGCCGAGATCATGCCACTGCACCACAGCCTGGGTGGCAGTACAAGACTCTGTCTCAAAAAAAAAAAAAAATTTTTTTTTTAGATAGGGTCTTGCTCTGTCACCTAGGCTGCCAGGCTGGAGTGCAGTGGCATGATCACAGCTCACTGCAACCTCAACCTCCCAGGCAAAAGTGACCCTCCCACCTCAGTCTCCCGAGTAGCTCAGACTATAGACGCACCCCATCATTTCTGGCTAATTAAAAGTATATAATTCTTTGGTAGAGATTTCTCACTATATTGCCCAGGCTGGTCTTGAACTCCTGGGCTCAAGTGATCCTCCTACTCTGGCCTCACAAAGCACTGGGATTACGGGCATGAGCCACTTTGCCTACCAACAATCTTGTATATAACATTTGTTTGCATATATGTCGTGATACATATTTCCCGAAACATAGTTTTTCACTTTGGTTCAAGGTGAAGAGATTATGCACAGATGGCAGCAAGGATCTGGCCTGGATGCTCAGCAAGCACCTTCAAAGGTGGTAGTATCTATGTCAGTTCTCACTTTCAGAATCTAATACTCATCTAGTCCTGCTGTGCAACTAGAGTCAGAGGCCAGTTGAAAACTGAATTGTGCTAACTAAGCTCTGAAGTCACTGCTGCATTAACTACAATGCCTTAGTTCTCTTTACTGCATTTTTCCACATTTCTTTCTCCTTTCATAACATACAGACTTGTGGCTGGACATGGTGGCTCATGTAATCCCAGCACTTTGGGAAGCCAAGGCAGGTGGATCGCCTGGAGTTTGAGACCAGCCTGGTCAACATGGTGAAACCCCGTTTATCGGAGCATGGTGGTGGGCACCTGTAATCCCAGCTACTTGGGAGGTTGAGGCAGGAGAATCGCTTGCATTGGGGAGGCAGAGGTTGCAGTGAGCCAAGACTGTGCCACTGCAATCCAGCCTTGGCAATAAGAGCAAAACTTCCTCTCAAAACAAACAAAAAAAAACCATATAGACTTGTAATTGATTGCTTGCTGTCATCTGCACAAAGCCATAAGCTAGTGATTTCAGTGGACAAGACAGATGAGGTC